CCCCAAAACCCCAAAACCCCAAAACCCCAAAACCCCTGAGACAAAAACTAGAGTTGAAAATAAAACTTATGATTAGAATACTGTATGGTAGTAAAATTGTGGCTAGAAGCCCTCCTCTGTCTCTTCTACTTATCTCCATCAGACGAGTCTCCGCCTACAGACCTGTGGCTTACTCTCTCGTACTGCTTCTTCTGTAAAATCGGAGGCTTCCCTTCAAGTTCAGGCAGCTCCAGCTTTGCGTCCTTTTGCTCTTCCACAAGGAAACCAGGATTCACAGCGCTTGTAGAGCCGCCCATGACATTCTTGGGAGTGTCGATCATTGTGAGGTCGTGCTCCAGGAGCTCGTTGTAGCCCGAAGAGCCCGGCACTTTGCCTGAGCGCAGCTTCTCGCGAGTGTCTTTGCTGAAGGCACCTGGCTTGTTCAGAGTTTGCATCCGGGACCGGTGCCTCCGTGAGTTCGTGTTGTGGCTTTGGTTGAAAGCTAAAACATCAATTGACTCCTTACAAGTATAGTTAGTGTTGTTACGAGGGGCTTGATTCGCCTTCTTGTGGCCAGGCCGAAATATTTTGTTCATGTGCTCGAGCTTCTTGTCACGGAGTTTGTAGAAGTCTTGTCCGCTGTCCATCAAGTGGCCGAATGAGGTCGTCATGTGTTTGTGGTTGGCCAGTTTAAGTGGTCTGGCTTCATGTTTGTTCAAATAGAACTCCTCGTCTTTGGAGATAATTGCATTTCAGTCTACAGGTTAGAAGCCACTTACTCCCAAAAGTCTCGGTGTTCAGTTTGAGGCTTGCACCATCGTGGTTGCTGATCTAAACATTAGTTAACTCATACATCGAGGTGCTCAGGATGGAACTCTTGTGAGCCTCCAAACAGCTTGCTGCAGTTGCTGTCAATTTCTTGACGAGCGCTCTTGTTCATGCCGTTGCGAATGGTTTTGCGTTCTTTGCTTTTACGTTGTAGAATAATGTAGTTGTAAGTGGAGAGTCCTTTCGTTTTCAGATAAATATGGAACAGAATCAAGTGACCAGTCGTGAATCAGATACAAGCACAGATCGCTATCAGTCCATATCAAGCTCCGTACGACAGCCAAGCAGCCAGACTTGCGTTCTCAGACCCGTAGTACTCTTCGAAGTTGCGCTCCGACCCAGCAAAGTCAGATGAGGTGTGCGACAAGATATTCTCGACTGCTCACACAACAACGATGAATGTGTTGTGGACCAGAAACAATGCAATCAGCGAAGCAAAATACTTGTAGTTATTTGCCTCCAATGCAATTGTTGAGCCACTTGCAGTGGTGGTCAAAGTCTTCAACGCATCTGTCACACTGTCCGCAATGCTTGCTGTCTTTATTTAGAAAATGCTTCACAATAGTTACAGAACATTTGCTGCTGCTGGTTGAGGACGAAGGCTATCTTTTCACGTTTGGAGCGTCTGAACTTCAGCACAGTTCTGTCTGTGGGGTCGATACAGGTCGCTATACTCGAAGGGTTACACTCACAACATTTTGAGAGTCAAGGAATACACACATGTCATGAATATATCAAGAATATGACAAGAATATTTCAAATTCATTGTAAATTATTCTAAGCAAGCCTCGAACATTTGAGTCAACAAATTGGGGCTTTGTTAGCAGCATTTAAGTAGGCACCGACTTGAAGATGAAGTCTAGACTCAGAAACAATTGGAAGTGGCTTACCGATCATCATGACAATGAATATAGCAGCGAGTGATAAAGAAAACAATGCGTTGAGAGTGTACCTGGCGCCACTTGCAAATCCTGGGGCGACGAGGGAGTAGAAGGTAACGCTGACGAGGAGAGTGATCACCCAGCTGAGAACTTGCATGCGGTGGAGTGGGCAGTAGAAGCCATTTGATTTAATCGGCCTTAATTTTTCATGATTATTATCCTCTTCACTATCCATTATGAAATATATATAATCAATATAAACTTGAGTAAAGGGGTTTTGGGGTTTTGGGGTTTTGGGGGTTTGGGG